TAATCATAAGTGATTTAGTTCTATTACCTAATAATTAAGTTAAATTTTTTACAACAGATTTCCGTATCAATAAATAAATTACCAAAAAAAATCAAAAATTTAGGAAGACTTTCTAGCCAATATCCACGTGGTGTCTCTTGTAACTCCTAGGTAACTATTATAGTCGAAACTTTTCAATATAAATAATAATAAAATTAATATGTCAGGACTCAACTCGTGTATACGTTAAAGTATGCAGGGACTCAACTCGAGGTCAGCCGGGTAAATAAAATCATAGAACTCCCGAGAGCCAAATGTCCGGTCTTAATAATTGACAGGGACAAAATTTCCTTTAACCATATAATTCATATCAATAAGTGAACATTTGATAAAAAAAATAACAGCTTAATGTTATTTAGCTTTTAGATATTTAATATTTATGTACCTATCCATACCTTTATACCTTTTCATTAACTAAAAATTCATTAAATTTATATATATTCAACATGTTCATGACAATAATAAATGATGTTACCTTTTTGAAAATATAAGCATCGTATTATATTTCCTTGAATTTAACTCGTTCTATGCAGTAGGTATATCATATTAAAATTAAGACTATTTAAGGTTTGTTAAACGCCTAGTGAAATGTCTAGTGGTAAATTGAATATTTATTTGTATTAAAAAGTTTTCAGTCTAGCTTCATTGATAGAAAGGCGAATGTGATTTCAAAAACAGTTTTTACCCAAAATCCTATTAGGTAGTCCTTAATCTCGTCGGTGTACAATGTAGAATATAGATCCCGGTATAAGCACTTATTAAGGCAAAAAAATAAAACATACTAGAAAATATATACCTTTTAGGATGTTTGTAAGACATCTTGCGACTTCTAAAGGTCGGTTTCATGTGCATGTTTTCTTCCTTTAACTCTGATTGCAGGTTCTGATATTGTTATCCAAAATATTCTCCATTTTGGCCTGACTGAATACTTCGGCATCGAATATAGATGACGCATGGATCTTTATACACCGTACTGTAATCAACGCTTGCCCTTTTCTCCGAATCTTATCCATTTCAATCCGGTTTGTAAGGCAAATGTTTTGTAGGACATGATTGTGGAATTGATCAACTCGATTATTTTGTTTGAATTTAAGACTTTTAATAACGAATGAACTTTTAACATTATAATACACTTGACAAGTGACTTTTGTCTTTTATTTTAATCTACACTCAACGTAGTTTTTCAATTTTTCAACCATTAAGGTTTTTGGTTTACGCAAGACGTGGTTACCGGTTCCAATTTTAAGGGAAAAGTGGAAAACCACGAATTACGGATGTTCCGTTAGCAATATTTGATAAGAGAGCGCAGTGGTTCTCAAAGTGCGTGCAAATTGAATTGAAAGCGTTAGATAGATAATAAATGTACAATACACGATGCGAGGCGCAAAAAAAATATATTTTAAGTAGTAGCATAGCGTCACAATAACCAACCAAAACAGTTTTTTTTTTTTTTGTGGCCCGATTAATAATAAACGGAAATCGACTGGAAAATATTTTATTTTACCAAACAATAGGTCGTGAAGTCTATTTTTAGACAGTGTACACAGCCAAGAGTTTCTCGGTCGTGACATCCTTGAAAAATCGGCGGTAACGATATATAGTAACGCACGGTATATGTACACGATTTCAACAAAGGCGCTTGAAAAGAAACACATATATAGCGAAATTGGAACAAAGTTGAGTGTAAAAGATATTGAATATCTTAATCAAAAGGATTCGTTTCACTACGGAGTCTATTGTTTATATTATACCGAATGCGTGATGAGAAACCGAA